ACAATGCAGCTGGCACAGTGGGCGCCGACGTGCGCCTCAATGAGCAGCACAATATTGCGTTCATGGGAACACTGGTGCGGTCTGGTCACGGGGAAGGCATTGTCATCGCCACCGGAGGAAAGACTGAGTTCGGGACGATTTCGTTGTCACTTCAGGAAATCGAGGCACCTCGGACACCTCTGCAGCAATCGATGGATTTGTTGGGAAAGCAACTCAGCTACATGTCCTTTGTCGTCATCGGAGTCATTATAATCATTGGTCTTGTTCAAGGCAAGAAACTGTTAGATCTGTTCACCATCGGAGTATCTTTGGCCGTTGCCGCAATTCCTGAAGGCTTGCCCATCATTGTCACAGTCACTCTTGCACTTGGAGTGTTGCGAATGGCCAAACGTGGAGCGATCGTTCGGAAGCTGCCGAGCGTCGAGACACTAGGTTCGGTAAACGTGGTCTGCAGCGACAAGACGGGGACATTGACTCTCAACCACATGACCGTGACCAAATTGTGGCATTTCGACGTAGGCAAGCCATTCCCTGTCAACCCCACAGCAGTACTTACATCCGCGACTAAAGCCATTCTCCGAATTGGCAATATCGCAAACAACGGTCGACTTTCTCAGAATGCATCCGGGACCCCTGCTACTGCTGCCTCAGCTGCGGTGCTGTCCTCTACTAGAGATAGATCATCCACAGTCACCAAGAGTCGATGGCTGGGCCAACCCACTGACATAGCCATGCTCGATCTGTTGGATGCGCACGGTGAAGACGATATTCGTGAAAAGATTGGGCCGCGAACGAGCGAAACACCATTTAGTTCCGAGAGAAAGTGGATGGGCGTCGTCATTGGCAGCGCTCTGGGCGAGATGACCAACGGCTATGGGCTGGGTTCCGAGACGGCTTACATCAAAGGCTCCCTGGAACAAATTTTGATCAGGTCGGACACGTATTTGACCAAGGATGGTCAAGAAGTCGTGCTCGACGAGAGTCGTCGAAAAGAAGCTCATGCGGCGGCGCAAGCAATGGCTGAGGAGGGACTCAGGGTGATTGGATTTGCGAGTGGCGTCCTCAGGAACAAGACACGGCAGAACAGCAGGAGTTCCACGCCATCGGGAAATAAGAAGCCTGTCGAGTCAGAAACGGATGTCTTTACCAGCCTATGTTTTGCTGGGCTGGTTGGGATGAATGATCCTCCACGAAAACATGTGAACAGATCCATCCGACGGTTGATGAATGGAGGAGTCAAGGTCATTATGATCACTGGCGATGCAGAGACCACTGCGGTGGCGATCGCGAAGAACCTCGGGATGCCAGTGAACCCTGCAAGTTCAGCTTCGAGGTCCGTGCTCCGAGGCGATGAGCTTGATCGCTTGTCAGAGCAAGAATTGTCGGAAGCTATTGGCAAGACAAATATCTTTGCTCGGACTAGCCCAGAACACAAGATGAAGATTATTCGAGCTCTCCAAGCTCGGGGCGACGTCGTTGCCATGACCGGAGATGGGGTCAACGATGCACCAGCGCTCAAAAAGGCCGATATTGGAGTTGCCATGGGAAGGCTAGGAACAGATGTGGCCAAGGAGGCGGCCGATATGATCCTGACTGACGACGACTTCTCCACCATTCTCCGAGCCATTGAACAGGGAAAGGGTATCTTCTTCAATATTCAGAACTTTATCACTTTCCAGTTGAGCACGAGCGTCGCGGCGCTAAGTTTGGTCCTTCTCAGTACCATGTTTGGTTTCAAGAATCCGCTCAATGCCATGCAGATTCTTTGGATCAGTAAGTCCCCTGCCACAAATACTTCCCGGGTTACCGACTAATTTGTCTCAGATATACTCATGGATGGGCCTCCTGCTCAATCACTTGGGGTTGAACCCGTCGATCCCCTGGTGATGATGCAGCCACCGCGACCTCGAAACGCGAACGTACTGACCAAACGGCTCATCCGCCGCGTCCTGACATCCGCCTCTCTCATCATGATGGGCACTCTTTTCATCTATCTCCGAGAGATGGTGGACATTGACGATCCGTCGGTCGACCCGTCGGTGGTCAACTCGACGCCTCTCCGCACGCGAGTGGTAACCAAACGCGACACCACCATGACCTTCACGACGTTTGTGCTTTTTGACATGTTCAATGCGCTGACTTGCCGCTCGGAATCCAAGTCGGTGCTGTTTGGCGAAATCAAGCTCTTTGGAAACAAAATGTTCAACTATGCGGTCGCGGGCAGTCTCGCGGGCCAACTCTGTGTCATATACTTGCCATTTTTGCAACGGGTGTTTCAGACCGAGGCGCTGGGTCTGTGGGACCTGATCTCCCTGGTGTGCATCAGCAGCACCGTGTTTTGGGTTGACGAATTGAGGAAATGGGCCGAAAGAAAGAGGAGTACTGGACGCCTGCCGAGTGTTGGGTATTCGGCTAATGTATAGAGCTTGGGGGCGATGTGTGGTGGCCCGGTTCGTATAGTCGAGGTGATGTATAGATTAGAAGAAGCCGTGAATGAACGATGAATACTACCCAGTACTTAACTTGGCTCATCCCTGATTGCCCTCAATACTCTCGTATCGATCGCGACCAACTGGCCGATTTCGGCTTCGAATTTATGTGCATGACTCAGGCGGACAAGGCTGACCGAAGGCGCTGGATCCGATTGGCCGGCTGCATCCAAGACTTCATCTTCCGCTCCGCAATTGATGACTATTCCATCAATCCATTGTCGTTCTCGGAATTCCACCAGTTTCGGCGAAGCTGCTTTGGTCTTTGAGTCCCTGCATTCTGCGATCACAGCCTACGTTTCTAAGGTGTTGATTAGATCCGCGACAGGCCGTGAATTAGACAAGACTGCCGATAGGAAGCACCGCGATTGAGAGAGGAAAGAAAGAAAAACCCTTAGACGAGATCCGATATCGACGACGGCGCTGACTACGACCACGATTGCGACGACGACAACGGAAGCAACAAGACCACCAACAAGAACACGACGCACATAGAACGTCTACGCACATATCAGCTCGCCAGTCAACCAACCCCGTCCGTCCGATTGCACCCGACCTCGTCTTATCTCTCTTCTATCCATCCATCTACCTAGTTCGGCCCCAGAGCGCTATCCTCGGCTCGATTCAGACCAGGTTCCCGCCGCAGGAGAGGAAATACCGAAGATATGCGACCAGACGGTCCACGCGACCCATACGCCGGGCCCGAAGCGGGGCCTGAGGCGCCGTTTCCTATCAAGTTGTGCGGGCCGGTGATCAAGGGGTTTGGGAGGGGCAGTAGAGAGGTGAGCGAGCAGTGTGCCATCTTTTTCACCGTTTGCTTTCGTTTCGTTGAATGTCGTTCTCTTTTTGCTCTTTGGCCTTCGATCGGCCTTGCAAACAAGAAAAATAAGGAAAGATCTTGTATTGGCCGACGCTGGCCTTTTGGTGCGTTGGTATCTTGCCATTTGTCTACGGTGCTAGTGAGATCTTCTTCCGGTCCAGAGTGGGAGGGAGGAGAGAAGAAGAATTGCGTTTCGGATCGAGCGAGCGAGGAAACAAACAAGCTGCCTACGTCAAGAATGTCGATTCCTTCCGGGGTACCATGCGAATGGACTTATTAGAGCTGGCCACGAGCGTCTCTGGCGTCCCCGGACCACGAATACGGGGAAGGTCCTCCGCTGCATTCTCCGAGCAACCTTTCCGTCAAGCAGCCTCGAGACGAAAAGACGAGGCTACCACAAGAAGGCGGTCCAGCACCGAGGTCCGGGCCCTGGGGCTTTATCTCGGCGCAATTCCACCCCGTCCCCTTTTTTCCTCTTCCGCGGGCTCCTCTTCTCCCCTCCTCTCCCCTCCAGTGTGCTTTCTCTAGTCCTCAATCTCTACTCAATATCCCCCCAGCACAAGAGAGAACCCAAGAATTCAAAGAGAAGAACCGAAGAAAAGAAAAACACTAACCACATCTGCTCCCCTCGGGTCAAATCCAGCTCGGCATTCCCACGGCCAATATCCCCACCGAAGGCCTCTCGACCACCCACCCAGACTTGCCGAGCGGAATCTACTACGGCTTCGTGGGCCTATCGCTCAAGAGCTGTCCCTCTGCCACTGGCGCTAGCACCTCAGATTCCACGACGCCACCCCCTTCCTCAACACCCGCAGCATCAACAGCGGTAGAGCCCATAGTCTCGATCCACCCCGCTGTCCTCTCCATCGGGTACAACCCATTCTACAAAAACACCGTGCGCAGCGTGGAAATCCACATCCTACACGACTTCCCGCGCGACTTCTACGGCGCCGCCCTCAACCTGCTGGTGCTGGGCTACATCCGGCCCGAGTACGACTACGTCAGCGTCGACGCGCTTGTCGAGGATATCAGGATCGACTGCGCCGTCGCCGCGCGCAGCCTGGACCGGGAAACATACCAGCGCTTCCGCCGCGACGAGTGGGAGGCCTGGTTGACGGATTTCTCGTGGATGGACAATGTCGATACGCACAAGCTGGAGATGGAGGTGCTGAGCAAGAAGGAGTAAACTTACGACATCCACGACTGAAGGAAGGCGTGAAGGGGAAGGGGCGTAGATATAGGTAGAATGGGTACCGTCAATTGGTGGGGGGACGATCGTATAGACATCGAAGCCTGGTTCGGGGAAGGGGGGGCCCTTGGTCTACTTTCGCACTCAAATAGAGAGTAGTTCTGCCTCAGCAATTTTTTGAATTCATAGACAATGCCAGGCTTCCCAGGCCAGGAAACTGAGTCTTGTGCAACGGTCCCGCTACGGTCCCCGTTTCAAGTTTCCTGACCCCCCCAAAAGGATCATAGTTATATAACGTACTCACGAAGTTGCCGGGTATCCACAAACGTCCTTTATCGGATCCATTGCCAGGTCAGATTCCATCAACCACCCCGGCCCAGTCTTCCAGAAGGTGTGCCCAGTGTGACCAATCCCACCACACCCCTCCAGTTGATACACAGAACAGTCGTGAATTGCAAAACTTTTGGACCGCCTATATACAAGGCAAAAACTTTGTCTCCTGTTAGTGTGCCAAAAATGAAGGGACGAAGCAGGAGGGAGAACTCACATTCATAACAATAAGCATGGGTATATCAAACACGTCACGTTTCACCGTCCAGCAATATGTGCAATCCACCTTCCCGTCGGCAGATCCCAGTTTTTGCATACCCTTTTCGCCAGAAATACCATCACGCTCCCGCTTCATTTCATGCTGACGACGGGAGTCTTGCCGTCGCAGCTCTGGTTGACCTTGACGGCCATCTTCGGTTCGAGCCTCGGCCTCGACGTTGAGATTCTGGGCGAGTTCATCGTCTTTTGTCCGATATTTAAGGAGTTTGGCCCTGCCACAAACACTGCCTCGACTGTCTCCGAACGCAAGTCTCGCAAAATCCTCATAAAACTGAACCACGGACTCATCGTCGAGCAGTTCGGCAAGAAACACCGGTTGTGGTCGTTTCTCGCCGTTCTCGGTCTCAAACATCAGTCGTTGCGTGGGGGTGTTACTCCCCGTTTGTCGAGCAGTATTAGCCCCAGACCCGGTGCCGGGTGTTTGCCCGGAATGACCGCGATTCACATTCAGGTTGGGCGCCCGACCAAGCAGCACATTCTTCGTCCACCCGGTGAGGATTTGGAATTCCTTGCCCACAGCTGCAACTTCTCCAGTCCTCCTCGCCACAATTGTTGGAGTACCTACACCCTCAATGAAACCTTCATATTCCCATAATGTCCGCTGGAAACACTTTTCCATGAAGATCAGGTCTTCCCTGTTCAAAGTCTTGGTTGTCGCAATGAACGATGGTCGGATCGACGCCAATGACTTGGCTATGGCAAGTGTCTTGGAAGGATGTGCGGCAAATCGTTTCTGAAGGTATGCAATAAAGCTGTGGAACCCTGCCGTATAAGGATAAGGCTGGGTGACGGAGGTGTAGATCGATGACGGATCCTTAGGCCGCTTCAAAGACTTGACGGGCAGCTGAGATTTGGCCTTCAACTGCGGAGTCGAGATAGAAGGAGGGGGCCGGTTGTTCCTGCCATCCAAGGGTCCGGTTGAATGAATGACCGGGCCGCCATCCAGGGCTGATGGCGGCACCTGAAGACCTGTGTTGGTCATCAACGGTGACTCTTCGAATTTGACCGCATTGTTGGGCGTGCCATTCGTGTCCGGGGAGGTCCAATTAACCGCGTTAGATTCTATGGCAAACGCGTTGGGAGCCATATGGCGACCGTGTCCATGGCCGCTATATGGGTCAGCCCCATTGGACCAATCTGGTAATATTGCTTCGCCGTATATCTGTTGCCGGGCCGTCGGACTCTCGCTGAAGCTGAAGGGCATACGATATTGCTGCTGCTGTGTGATAGAACCGCTTCGTGTCGCCGTGTCGCTAGGAGGAGTATCTCCCGCATTGGTAGCCATATGACCGAGCATTCCGAACTCTAATGCACCATAGTGGTTTCCGAAGTTCATACTGGCAATGTCGAAGTTGAACATGGCATCATCACCATACATCTGCCCTGGCCAGCCGGCGGCAGTCATGTTGGTGGAATTCGACTGATCGGCACCAATTACAGGGCTTTGCAGCGGAACTTGCGATGCGACATTTGGAAAATTTGTGGCCAGTGGTGACTGCTGAGTGAAGCTAGTCGTGCTCATACTTCTCTCGTGGAGCAGTGGAGGAGGCATATGCGCGGGCGTGGGAAAATTGTTGTACGTCGGCGTTTGTTGAAAGAAGGGTTGTTGATGGGGGGTTTCATTGCCCACAGTCGAGCTTGCTTTCGCCGCCGCATGGTTGTAGGGGTTCCCTCCAACCCCAGGCATGAGGGCCTCGTTGGGCGCATCGTGCAGATATTTTGCCTTCTTCCTGACGCCGTCCTGACACGCATCCTGGAGGCCTCGTTTTATGCACCTTTGGCATGGTCTCTCGTCGCCTACAAAAGGGTGTCAGCAATGGAGGATGACGGGTTATCTTTTGGGGGATATTTTAAAAAGCCCACCTACCACAGGTCAAATGGGCACGTTGGCAAGCGTAACATGCCCTACGTGCCTTTTTTCTACGGGGGCGAGAAGGATCCTTTGGATTGGTCGGTTGGGCTCCATTTTGTTGCTTGCTTCTCACGTCGTTCTTACTCTGACCTTCGGCCATATTCACTTGGACGTGTTCGGTCCCACTGTCGTCAGGAGAGGCCGAACGAGAGTGGCCATCTTCGACATCTGAGGCCGTCATCTTGTTATAACGAAACCATCAATGAGATGCCAGAGACTGCCGGACGCAAAAAGATGGCTTGCACAAGAACAGCCAGAGTTACACGGGAATTCGAAAATGTTTTTGCCCGGTTAGAAACAACGACTGAATGACAGTTTCGCAGAGGCAGGCCCCCGCTACCTTACAGGTCAACCGTCGGCTCAACTCGCGCGCAGCAAGAACGCGAGCCCCCTATGGGGACCAAGCAGTTGGATCGTGGGAAGCAGCTCCCTCTGAAGCAGAGCGACAATTGTGTATGACGATGGCGCAAGATTGGAGGATGACGGCAAATGGTTTCTCGCTTTTCCAGCCAGCCAGGCTGCGTAACAAGGTCGGCAATAGAGGTCGTGCGACACTGCCAGGTATGACAAAAGGAGCAATTTTTCTTTTCTGGTGCTTTCGTCTCGAGGGGCCAGGAAGGACAAAGGTAGCGCGGGCGGCTTGGAGAGGCAACAGAGGGGCGCCGATGGCACCGGATGGCAGAGGATTAGTGGTCGTCAGGAGGAATGCAAGTCGTCGCTCTCAGCACCAGCGTCCGATAAGACAGGTGTCAGCAGGGCTGAAGCATTGTTGAGGTTGGGTTTGAGGTTGGTGGGTGGTCGAGTGAGTTGAGCACCGAGCAGGATCGAAAATGCGGGCAGCAGAGTGATCGCCGAAAGAGGGCGGGCGGCGTCAAGCGTCAAGGGTTCAGTCTCCAGTCTCCTCCCTCCAGCCAGGCTTCGGCCGCGCCTCGGGGTGCGGAGTCAGTTTTGCTTGCAGAAACGTAGCTGATATCAGAGCAGCCTAATGTGGCGCTGTCAATGCAAAAAATCCGCCGTCGCGTCGACGCAGAGGCAGGAGTTTCACCTGCGACGTGCAGGAAAAGGGAGTCGGGAGTGAGGAACAGAAGGGAGGAAGGAGCGTCGAGGTGAGAGTTTCTCGCTCCCAAGAGTGTGCGAGTAAAGGACTCTCGCTCGCGCAATTATTAGATTAGTGCCAGTGATGATTTGCTAGGCTTCTTTTAACTATAAGCGACCCCACAAAACCTTGCAACGCCTGAAGGGAAGGACGCGGGCGCGGGTGAGGGGCTGATGGGCTCACGCCTCACAGCTCATGGAGGTTCAGCAGCTCTGCACCTGGCACCTGGCACCGAGCACCGAGCACCCCCAGTTGAGTCGTCAGCCTGATGATGCTTTGTTACCGTCCTCGGTACCCACCGAGCAGCCCGCCCCCCTGGTGGCAGTGCCACCGGTTCACCCAGTACTGAGCTAGGCATCATGCATGGCCATCGAGCCACTGACTTAATTCCCTCGGCATCTCTAGCCACCCGAGTCACCATTTAACCAACTCGTCGAATTACCTCTCCAGGTGCCACCCCCCAGTGCCTGAGTGCTCGGTGACTGCCTTACCTTAACTACCTGTAATACCAAGCGTAGGTACGAGGTACTAGCTTAACTCATCCCCTACTCCTACTTCGGCAAATTCAAAGTTCACGCTTGGCTTCCTCTCTTGCACAACCACCACGACCCCCGCTCCCGCAGGTTGAAACATCCGCACCTTTGGGCAGCAATGTCTCTAGGAAAATTGGGGTGAGACTTCAGAATCGCCAATCACTTGTTTAGTCGGGGATTCATGAAGGGCGAGAGGGATCCGTATGCCTCGGTATGACTTCCAGACAAGGCTGCCCGTTTTCACCCGACCCTCCCGGAATTCGTCGGCTCAGGCTCTACATATGTTGCCCTGGAAGGCAGTTCCGCACTCCGGACTGACATTCGCGAAGGCACATCTTTACGGGAGCGCCAGGAGGACCTACGTCTCCTCGCTCGACAAGTACCCAAATCTATAGAATCCGTCCTCTCCATGGACGCACGGATCCCTGACCATCCTCAGGGAGACAAACACACCGACAAGATTACTCGACACGTGCTCACCATCAGGATTTGTGCAACCATCCTGGAGCACTCACTGCATCGCGTCTGGTGCAACCCAATATTGTCCTGGAACCGACGTGCGCGATTGGTCTCGACTAACTCTTTTGCATTGCCCATTGTGATCGGGCCCATGCCCCAAAACCTGAGCGCACACCCCTAATGCCACGCCATGCGAAGCACAGCAACACGGTGCATCCCCCTTCACTCCATGGCTAAAACGACCGTGTTCGTATTCATTGATTGACAATGCTTGATGCGGTGTAAGACAGGGCCGTCCTATCAAAGTGCGTTTCCACCACCTCATCGCAGGAATCGGTCTGACAGCCCCCTGATATCGGGAGCCCCTTTCGTCGCCCCCTTTTTAACAGGTGAGGGAGACTGCCGCGACAGATGTAGCTGGCCCTGTATGGACAGAGGGGACGAGAAGAGGGGGGAGTGGCTGTCGACTATTTCAGACTTGCCGGTTGATTTTGTCTATTGCAACTCTACTCAGCAAATGGACCTACAGATTCGTAATGCCGAAGAGTAAGCTTCGCATGGCCCGGTCCAACCTCCCGGAACCACTGGATTTGTATGGTAATTTATAAAAATGAAAAGAGAGTCCAGTCCCCGCACTCTGGCCAAGTTGCTAATTATGCCCTCGTTCATCCAGGAAAGGTGGTGAATCTGCTCTTCTGCCGCAGTCTTTTCCCGTAAATGAAGAACAGATAGGGGAACGGCGCCATGATCAAGCAGAGAAATGCCAGAAGCGTCGTGGCCCAATGGAAGCCAAGCTTGTTGTACATCTGGACGCCGAACAGGGGAAATGCGCCTGCAAACGAGCTCCGTGCAAACGAATTGGCCGACAGAGCGCTAGCTGCATAGAGCGGATACGCCTCGACCAGAAAGGTGAAAACTCCCGTGAAAACAAGAATGGTGCCGAATCCGAAAAAGCCGCTGCCGACGATGGGGACGATGGAGTGAACACTTGGATAGATGGTCCATGCAAACCAGAACAGTCCGACCACGCAGAACCATCCCCCAAATATCGAGGGTGGAAGTCGGTATTCCGGTTCTGACTTGCGTTCTCCTGTGCTCTCCTCTCGGTTCCGGAGTAGTCGGAGGTAGTTCTTGTGCCAGATGGGGTCGGATAATATCGCCAAGATCATTCCAATCATGAGGCCGAGGAAAGACAGGCCGACCTGCCAAACCTTGAAGTGATAGACCTCGGTGAAGACGAGATTGAAAGCTCCGAAGAAGAGGTATAGAATTCCCAGAAGGATGGAGGAGAACAGGCACAGGTTGAAACACATGGGTTCCAAGAAGAGAAGCATGAAAGGACGATACAGAGACCTCACCACCGTCCAGAAAATGGATTTCTCGTAAACCTCAATTGGAGCCTTGAATCTCTCATCCCCAGTCTCTTTCCGCATCTTTTGCGCTTTCTTCCTCAGAACCACCGGCATGTATGTCTCCGGAACGATCAAAGTAATCGCGATCACCATCACTCCGGACCATATCAGGAGCACGTAGTACGACCACCGCCAGGAGGTGTTGTAATTGATAAACCCTCCTATGACGGGGCCAAGCCCTGGGCCAATAAAAGGAGAAGCCGTATATATCATCATTGGGGCTTGAAGCTGGTCGCGATTGAACATATCTCCGACCGTCCCGCCTGCAACAGACAGGAAGGCGCTTCCCGAAAAGCCATCCAGGAATCGGGCTATCAACATAGTCTGAATATTCTGAGCAAAAGCACAGGGGAACAGCCAGATGGTGAAGAAGATATATCCAAGAATATATATCGGGCGGCGACCATAAAACTCGGATAAGGGACCCAGAAGCATCGGGGACAACCCCAAGCCAAAGACGAAAAGAGCCAGGCCGAGGGTTGCGACAATCCGTGAGTTGCCAAACTCTGCGTCCATTTGTTCTGTCGCACCGTCAGTATCGGAACCTCACTGAAGGAACCGATGGCTTTGTACTAACCATAGGTGATCGTATAGAGCGAGGAAGTGCACGTCACACACAAGGAGCCAAAGGCCAGGGTTGTGACAACCGTCCATTTCTTTGCGGGATGCATGTTTTGGGGATTCATGGGGTCATCCGGACCATCCCAACCCACTTCGAACGTCTTCGAGGGGCTCTCAACATCCACCTCTTGCGGCTGGTCCGGGCCACCTTCAGGCTCAGGCTCACTGAAGTATGTGCTGTGTCCGTCTACGTAAGATCGACCAGAGTGGAGACTGGGGCGAGGCTGACTTGGATTCGTTGAAACGGGGGTCAACGAGGCTGGATACTGAAGCGGGACATCCAAGAAGAGCTCCTTCCTCTCCGCTTGCTTTGCTTCTAGGTCTGCCATTGCCGGCAAAGGCTTGGTGTCTGTGGCTCCAGAGGAGATTTTCTCGAGGGACTAAGGGAAGAATCGGGACGACGTGAGTCATACAGGAGCACAAGATACTAGCCAAGTTCTAGACACAGAGAACGTAAAGGGCCAGCGGGTGAGGGAGTGAGCGAAGCTGAGGGAGGAGTGAAATCCCGACGCAGAGTAAAGAAGGCCATCTTTGAAGGAGAAAAATATGAGTGACGACGATCGTATAACCGACTATGATTTCAAAGGCTCGAAAACAATCGCGATGGAACATCGATCGTACAGCAAGCAGTCGAAGAATGTTCGAAGGAGCAGCCTGAAGCAGCGCAATGGGGGGGTGATTCCGCGGTAATCAATTTCCAATTGGCGGGTCGGATGCGGTTATCGATCTCAACAGGGAAGAAGGTGGATGGAACGCCTCGTGGTGGTGCTAGATTGTTGGAGATGCCCTCAAAGTGCCTCACAATCTTCGTACCGTGCTGCCACTCACTTGGTACGAGATCCGCAGGTTTGTGAAGCTTCCACCAGTTACACTTCGGCCTCGTGGGCTGCTTATAAAACCATCTCCACACAATACAGATGCCACAGCGACGGCCCTTCGACCGATGAAGCCGCGCCGACCGTCGGCACAAAGGCCACATGCGAGGAACCTGCGGTGAAGAAAAGATGGAGAAACACATTCCCACCTTTTTGGTGCTTATTGGATAGTACTTGGGGTAATGTACAAGCTTCAAAACAAGCTCAATCAAAGATTTGGACGTCGGGCATTCTCCCAAGACCACTACCGTTGCCCTTGCTGTTGGGAGTCGCCTTGACATCCTCCAGAACGCCGCCAGCACTCCTTTCCTTGACATGCCTGCGTAGCATGTTCAGAATCTCGCTGTCCTTCCACCGTTGCGGCACGGGTCTATACGCCGGTCTGAAAGTCCCTATAGTTTGAGCCCACTCTCCGCGCGGAGCTCCCTGCCTCCATGCATCGGTCTCTTGAGTTTGTCCCGGGTTGGCGGGAGAGGTGTAGTCGGTGGTCTGGTTCTTCTTTTCGCTCGTGGCACCTTCCGCAGTCTCGAGCGATGTGGGCGCATTGGCTGGGGATTGCGTTGCCCAATAGTAGATGTCCCAGTCGTTTTCGTCCAGAAGGAAATCGTACTGCTCGAGTTGGGTTCTGCTCATGGAGGAAAGATTCTCGGCTGCAAAAGTGGAGAGGAGGAGGTCGGATTCTAATGTCCCTCGCTTCCTGCTTTGGTCTATCGAAACACGTTAGCAAAACTCCTGGGAAGTTCGAAATCTCCCTGATGCATAGTATTGCATCTCGGGGTGTGCACCGACATAGTAATCTGGCTCTCATGGTGGGAAGATCTTCCCCCGTGCGACGTAAAGGCTCAACTCGAAACGAGATGCCCTCCATTTCACCAACAGCATATTCTGGTCGGCTTACTTTGTTGGGGTCTCCCGGCTGGGTTCCTCCTGTCATCTTGTCTGTGTTCTCGGGAACTCTGTCCTTGGGGACGTAGTTGGGATCGGCAGAACTCAGCATTTCTGGCGGAGGTGCATCCTTCCCCACCGAAGGCATCTCGTTGTGAATGGTAGAATTAGTGTTTGTCATGTGTGGGTTGTCCGCCCTCTCCTTCTGGTATTTGCGGTACTCTTCAGCATTGGGGTGGACTCGAGGGTTCTCGTTGAGACGTGACGAGGTGGTGCAGATGCAGCGTCGTGATACGCCTGCAGTCAGTGGGCGACTGGCGAGGCGCCTGGTCAATAGACGTGAAGCATTCATGCTGGCGACTGAGGGAGGATTTTGAACCTGTAGAAGCTTCAGAATACGAGAGGCTTTCGGCTTTGATGCTGAACTGAAGATACAGCATGAAGTTGTTCCGTGGTCAAAAGGTGACGCAGGGGAAATGAGCAAATGTGAGGATTTGAGGGTTCGCCATTGACATCATCCATACATGTCCAGTTTTTCTCACCAACCAATCCACAATACGTATTTGTCAACCAACAATCTCCAAACCCAGCGCGATACTCAACATCTACAAGTCTTGAGCAGCAATGACTACAACGGGCGTTTAGTTGATAGTATTTTTGTCTAATTGCACGAGACCCAGGCCGAGAACCCAACTACAACCGTCTATATGGGACCGTTGGTTTGTTCCCAAGTATCTCGTCGATCTCGGCCATTACCTCGTCGTTCAACTTGGGAATCAGATCCAAAGCCTTGACAGATTTCGTGATCTGTTCAACCTTGGATGCTCCTGTAATGGCAGAACTCACCCGTGGGTTCTTCAAAACCCAAGCCAGCGCCAGGGTGGCCTGATCGGTACCCAGCTTGTCCGCAACTGGCATCAGCTGCTTGACCTGAGCCAGCGTTTTCTTCCATTGCTCATTTCCATAGCTCTCTCTTTGGGTGGTGGTGAACCCATCCGCAGCTTTGGCAATCCTGCTGTCTTCGGGGATGCCGTCGTTGTATTTCCCAGTCAAAATGCCTTGCTTGAGCGGACTGAAGATTGTCAGGCCAAGACCGTAGTTCTCGTACAGCAAAGCATATTCCCGTTCCACCCTGTCACGAGCCAACATGCTATATTCCGGTTGCTCCATGACAGGTCCGATCAAGTTGAGTCTTTCTGCACATGCCCAGGCCATGGCGATTTCCTCACTGTTCCATTCACTTGTACCCCAGTAGAACGCCTTTCCGGTGTTGATGATGTAGTTCATCGCTCGAACGGTTTCCTCGATGGGAGTATGTCTGTCTGGACGATGACAGTAAATCAGGTCGACGTAGTCCAGCTGCAATCTCTTAAGTGACCCCTCGACCCCCTCGATGATATGTTTCCGTGAGAGGCCACCGTTGTTGACTGGGTTGTCTCCATGGGCCTGACCCCAATAGATCTTTGTTGAGATGACTAGATCATTCCGCTTCCAGCCATATTTTCTAATCGCCTTACCCATGACAATTTCCGATTTGCCTTCGGCATAACCTTCAGCGCAGTCGAAGAAATTGATTCCGGCATCATAGGCGGCTTTCATGCATTCAAAAGCAATCTCTTCGTAACGTCAGCTCTGAGCAACATAGCATGATGGTTTCTTACCATCGCCCACTGCGTCCCCATAAGTGACCCTACTGCCGTCAATCCCGAGGCTTCAGTCTAGAACGGGGACCACTCACCATCCTCCAAGTGAAATCGCCGACACCTGAAGTCCAGATCGACCGAGGAAACGGTACTGCATTTTAGGTAGCTTATCACCGGAGGCAGCCATGGTGTAGTTGATAGGTCGAAAGATGTCACAAGAAATAAACAAAAAGCGAGAAGGGAGACGACACAGGATGTGGATGGGAATAGAGATACAGACAAAGTCAATTATGGCATATCTGGATCGGCTTCAGGTTATATACGCGCCAGCATCGTTGCATTTAGCCGGTACTCCGCGATGAGAACGGGTATGACTCCGATACAACACCCTGAGGCAACGGCCGAAGCGGACAATGGCACATTATGACCCCAAGGAAACACGATGTTTAGGGGATTTGCGGGCACTCTCATTTGCTGCTTGTTCAGATGGTGCGTCCGTCCCCACCAATTTGATCGTCTATCATCGAGAGGCGAGCTGAGCGCGCCTCGTGAGATATTAGACTACTCGGGACGGAGAGAGCAGACGAGGCATTCCCTGCGCCGATGTTTAGCCGCATTTACAGTTTTACCGGTTTAGGCTTAGCGTGGCTGAATCTTGGCGTGGATTTGGAGAGCGCACACTGCAGAGAATCTTTGGCGGAGATCGCAAGTCTCGACAGGCGAATCTCGAAAGCCATCTCCCTCAGACATCAGCCCGTTCTCTCTTTCTCTGGATCTTCAAGTAGCCATGGCTGAACAGCTTATTCAACGTGGTACTCTTGAAGGCCACAGCGGCTGGGTCACCGCCCTAGCGACCAGCTTGGAGAAGTCAGTTCTGCAGATAACCATCTCCATCCGCGCAATTGACTGACATCGAAAAAATCTAGCCCTAACATGCTCCTTTCTGCCTCGCGAGACAAAACCCTCATCATCTGGAACCTGACTCGCGACGAGACTGCCTACGGCTATCCGAAGCGGTCACTTCACGGCCACTCTCACATTGTCTCCGATTGTGTCATTTCTTCCGATGGCGCATATGCTCTCTCTTCTTCCTGGGACAAGACACTTCGATTGTGGGAGCTATCCACTGGCAACACCACCCGAACATTTGTCGGCCACACCAACGACGTGCTCTCCGTTTCCTTCTCCGCAGATAACAGACAGATTGTGTCCGGATCCAGAGACCGAACCATCAAGCTGTGGAACACCCTGGGAGATTGCAAATATACCATCACTGACAAGTGCCACACTGACTGGATCTCGTGCGTGCGCTTCTCCCCGAATCCTCAAAACCCGGTCATCGTGAGCTGCGGCTGGGACAAGTTGGTCAAGGTAAGAGCAAAACTACCCCAGAAATCACATTCATTTGCCCAAGATGCTACGCATTTCACAAAAGTATTTGCTACTTCGGAGCCCTTTTGGGGGCTATGAGACAACCATTCACCGGCGGACTGAGGCAAACTTCATGATTGAATGAACCCATATATACCTGCTCAGTTTAATTCTGAGTGCGATGTGGCTGACCTCAATTTGCTACAGGTCTGGGAACTCGCCTCGTGCCGCCTTCAAACCGACCACATTGGCCACACCGGCTACATCAACACCGTGACCATCTCCCCCGACGGTTCGCTCTGCGCCTCCGGTGGCAAAGACGGCACCACCATGCTCTGGGACCTGAACGAATCCAAGCACCTCTACTCCCTCCAGGCCGGCGACGAGATCCACGCTCTCGTCTTCTCCCCCAACCGATACTGGCTGTGCGCCGCTACCACCTCGTCCATCACCATCTTCGATCTCGAAAAGAAGAGCAAGGTCGACGAGCTCAAGCCCGACTTTGTCGAGAAGGGCAAGAAGTCGCAGGAGCCGTACTGCGTGAGCTTGGCCTGGAGCGCCGACGGTCAGACTCTATTCTCGGGCTATACGGACAACAAGATCCGCGCTTGGGGTGTCATGTCTCGAGCATAAAGGGCTGGCCGGCGCCAATTCGGGTAATGGGAAATGCAAACGACAGGAGCAGGTTTTTGAGGGGAGAGAGAAAGAGACAAGAGACGACTGTGACGGACGGTTATTCGACTGCTTTCTCGCCAAGATGGTCGGAGAAAGAAGGAGGGAGAGCCAAGGGGAGCAGTATCAGATTTTCGTCCGCTACGGGATTTAGCAAACCAACACGGGACCCAAACGTTAAGCCCCATCCTCATCGTCGTCGTCGTGGAAAATGGTTGAGATATGGCGCATTTCTGAGGCCGGTCTTCGTCCCTAGTTAGCTAGAGGCTGGCCCATGCATGAGAAACGGCAAAAAAACAATGATCCAAGACCAGTAAAACCCGAATTCACGAAAAACTTGAGATGTTCTAATATTTTTTTTGGTTTCGTGGTCTTCACTTGCCTGGGCTTTTCTTGGGGAAAAAAATGAGGGTTCATTTCATTTCTTTTCTTTATATATTTTCTCAACGTTCAGGCAGAAGTGTCCTTGACCATGTTCCTCGCCCTGACGCGCTCCTCGTGCTTCAATCTATCCGCGCCCTCGCCGCCGGAATTGAGCAGCTCGTCCCACTCCTCCTCGTCCATGTTCATGATCATGCAGATCTGGGTACAGCGCAAGAATGCCTCGCGCAAGGCATACTTCTGGCCCTTGACCACGACCTTGATGATCTCGTTGACGTCGTGCTCCAGCCTTGCCGCCCCGACTTCGTTGACACGCCCGTGGTACGTCCATAGGCGCTTCTCGAGCATCTTGCTCAGGTAGTTCACCGCAATCGTCAGCAGCTGGTCGAACGTGCGTTCGGTCATAATGCGCCCGATGGGCTTGGTCAGCGCGTCCCATCCGAGCTGGAACCGCATGCGGACTTCGTCCGAGAAAGCCTCTGTCTCGTCTCCTCCGCCGTCGAGGTCCTGCGCGAGGTCCTGCAATTGCTCACGTGTGAGCTGGTAGTCCGTGTCGCGGAAGGCGTCCATCAAAATGGGTCGAAGACGGGGCTTCATGACGTTGTGAAAGAGCACGTTCACGCCGTCGGAGATGAGCTCGTTGGTCTTCTCCAAAAATGCCGTGGAGAAGGATGTCAGTGCGGCTGCAACGGCTTCTGCCTCACCGGGCCCAGGAAAGAGCTCTTCCAGGGGTCGATGAGGTGAGCCTGCAGTGGGTTCCACTCGAGTACGGGCGATCTGGACAACGTAGTCCTTAGCTACGTCGAGATTGTTGATGAGGACAAGAAATGAGACGATTGTCGCCTCGGGTGGAAGCTGGCCTTGAATCGCGGCTTTGGGGTAGCTCTCATCACGCATCTTGCGCTGTTCCATACCGATGAAGTCGGAGCCGAGGATCCTGCCCAGTGTTGGAACGACACTAGAAACGACCTGCTTCTGCGACGTTGCCAAGGACTGTTGCAGAACTTTGTTGACGATGTACATGATGTCTTCGATTGCAGAAGTGACGTGAGGAGGATTGGAGTTGAGCGGCTTGTGGGGGTTGAGGGACAAATCTGGCGGTTGCTCGTCGAGCTGGAATGCCTTCTCGACTGAGCGCCGGAAGAAGAATGTAGTCATCGTGTTGAACGGAGTCAGGAGTTTCTCCTGCACCTTTTTTGTGAGGCTCGAGTTGAGGAGGAAAGGTGGCATCAGGAGCGATCCATCGAAAGCGCCAGCATCCTGGCATTTTTCAGCAATGAACCTGGTATACAGTGACCATTTGCCCAGCATGAGAGTCATTTCATTTAACAAGGCATCCACCTGTTTCATATCGACAGATTCATCCTCACTTGACCTTCCCGGTGCTGGAGAGCCTGCACGCGGCGTTCCGGTTGAACCGCGCTGTGCCGGCATGAAGCTCTGGACCAAGAACGTGAAAGCGTACGCCTTGATGTCTGTCAGTTGGCGTTCGATTCTCCTTTCATCGCTCCAAGTGTCAAGGATAATCCCCCCTTGGAGATCAGCCTCGACTTGTAGCCGTTCAATGACCCTGGCCATTTTACCAGGGCCATAATGGCGCTCAACCAGTCCACCATGTCCCTCAATGATTTGTGCAATATGCTCAAACAACTTAGTCAGCGCACTTGCGTAGAAGAACCCGTCTTTGCTTTGGTTGCCACCGGTGCCTGCGTTGAGGTTGACTCGCGCCCGCGAAGCGACTCCTTGGCAAACATAGCGGCCATAGACGTCGAGGCCAACATCTGAGCGGTTGATAAGTGGGAAGAGTTTGAAGAAACGGGTTATTTTAGCGCCGTCGTTCTCCTTGACCGCTTTATCGAACTCTCTCAGAAACAAGCTGCACAAGGACTCCGACGCGTTCTCCAAGGTGACAGCCGGAGCATCTGGGACTTCTGCGGTCGGGACGATTCTTGCAGCGAACGGCCCATTGATGACAGAACTGGGAATCTTTGAGGCTCTGCTAAGATAACTGGCAGCAGTTTCCCAGTCCTGAGCCGCTCCCATGGACCCAGAGACACCCAGCACACAAGCCTTCAGCTCCCCGACCTGTTCGACAACGGTGAGCGTGGCCTTGACCCTTTCCTGCTCGAGATCGAGTCTCTTGACTGAATTTGAGATTCGTTTGGCGTTTGCTGCGGCGTCTGAGAGCATGCCATTGCTGACCGCCCTTGCCTTCGAAGCTTGCGCAGTGACGTTTGCCCGGAACAAGTCCAGATGGCCAAGTTCTCGCTGAAGGTCCTTCTGTGCGCTGATAAGAGCATCGAGCTGCGAGGTTACGGTGGCCTCTTTTCTGTGGAGTTCGGCCAAAGCGGCACGGATCTCTGACACGGATTTCGCATTGTAGACGCTTGTGGATTCATGTTCGTGCTCAAGATCAGGTATGTGACCATTGGTGGTCATATTGGAGCGATGGTTTGGGGATGTTGAGTTGATTGGGTTGATGGGGAAATACTCTTTCCACCCACTTGTGAGAAGATGTCAAGATGCGGGTCAGCTCCGTGCGCAGTTCTGACAATCCGTGCAGACAAAGTCACCATTGATTGTTTCACCTGCGAGTAGAAGGAAACAGGACTCATTCTTGACCCAGAATCGTCGACCTGAGCCGCTCCATCTGGCCGTTAACGAGGGTTTTGTACCGAGTACACATGTTGGAACACCAAGGTGGGAAGGCCAACAAGGCCCAATTATGACCCGCAGGCTTCAGGGCACAAATTTCTCCGCACC